ATCTTTGTTTTGCAAAAACAAAGACTAACAACCTATAACGGCATTAAACCCAGATGCCCTGCCTATTAATAATCAAATTCTCTGCACCCTGTAATTTCACGGTCTATGAGCATGTCTGATCCAAACATCTTGTCAAAGCCTGTCAGATTAAAAGCAGGGCAGGGTTGGGCTTGGGTATGATTTGGATGAGACAGCAGGGAACGCCAGGTGCCAGAGGTGTGCCAGAGGTGTGCCAAATGTGATTCTATTCTGATTTCTGTAGGTAAGATTGACATGTAAATTACTTACACGTCATTTTAATAATAAGAATAACTCCAGAAGTCTTTGTTGGACGTGTAACTGCAGCCAGTGTCAAAACTGTGGTTGTGTCTTGTGGCAAGACACTTCACCTGTATTGTCTAGTATGAATGTGGTATGTGAGTGTTGATGGTGGTCGAAGGGTCAATGTCAGTCTGTCCCAGGGCAAATGTGGCTACAATTAAGGATTTGCGTGTGACGTGGCAGCCACGTGATTTAATGTTTTGGCAGCTATACTGGAGGTCAAGACTGGGATTATTCAGTTTATTTCAGTATAATCATATAATCATCATTATGGCGACTTTAAACAGCACAAATGACATAAAACTGAAACTCCCAGCTCGTTAGATCACTCGTCATTAGAAAGATATAAAGCTAAAGTCGTCCTCCTGGGTTGTTGAATAGATAAACGCTCGCTCTGTGCCCAACCTTTAGTATCCAGATATTTACAACTAATTAATTCATTTGACATCATCCTACACCAACCAAGAACTGAAAAACTACAGGGAGTTAGAAGCAAATAAATATTTTGTAGAGGGGATGTGTGAGATCTTTGTTGATCACCAAACATCACATCTGTTCCTGAGAACAGCCAGGGGAAGTGGGGGTCAAAATCAGAACCGGAGCTGCCTGGGACAGTGGAAATAGAGGGCTGGTGTGGGGGGATACCTTGACGGCTAAAGGTGAGGACGGAGGGTGGGAGAGAGTGGATTCCGTGCCGGTACACTGATGAAAAAAATACTTTTGTTTGTGTGGAGATGGTCCCTCACCAGAAATGAATTGTTGACTGACAGAGGGCTGTACTCAGTGGGCTCCATCCCTTTGTTTTTATGTCGCTCTCCACCTCTGTCTACGATCTTTATCAGCTGGGATCTGATAGAAAGATACTTTGGCCTCCTTCTTTAGCAGATTAACTCTGGCCAGAATAGCCAACAGCAACACAGCTCAAAACCATTGTTGTTTCAAATTTTATCACACACAAATACTACACATTTGTCCAGATGGATAGTTTGACCTCCAGTATGGCAGCATCAACACCAGGTTATGTGGTTTTTTGATGTAGATGCAAAACTTTAATAGTACACAGCAAAAAGTGGAGTGTTAAAAATGTGAACATTTTCTCAAGGTTTATATGAGTCCAATCTGTTCCAGAGCTTATTTAACACTTCACTAAAATTCCTGTTTAACCCCTGAAATCAAGAATTATATTAACATTTTCAGAGTAAATGGATAACTCTTTGTAGAGTTATCCTAATTTAGATAAACAACACACAGAGGTGTTTTATTTTTTACACTTTATTTTAGTTAATTTAAGATGAAATGACATACAAAACTGGTTCAAACTGGTCTTCTCTCGTGGGAGATTGAAGTGGTGGGCAGGAGGGGCCAAATTTACACTAAGGGAAACTGATTTAACTTTAACCATATGAACTTTCAAATAGTTAAAATAACACTTTCTGTGTTAAAAATAACTAATTTCACCATTTCCCCCTGAAATTTTAACCCTCCAGTTTTGGCTGTGTAGCACCATTAGGTATGAAGTGAATGAAGAATAATGCACTAAATTATAAAGTGACATTGAGCATCTGGAAAAGTGTCATATAAGACTTTATTATTTTGATTATTATGGTGATTATGATTATAATTATGATTATAATTATTATTATTATGGTTATTATTGTTTAATTTTGCTATAATTGTTATTATTATAATCATCATCATGACATAAACTAATTATCTTTTACAGCAGTGCATCAGGCTTTCTACACCAAATGTGTCAGAAGATGTTCTAGAAGAAACAATTGGAAAGAATATCTGAACGAAACCACAGAGAGCTGAGAGAGTGAGGCTGAGGAGAGGCTTTCCTGAGCTCACCCTGGCGCCCCCTGGAGGCTGCTGTGATGCTGCAGGACACCGATGAGGGACACTTTTGTCCTGCGGGATATTACTCTCCTCACTCTGCCCTGACACTGACCTGTTGAGCTGCACTGACACTTTTGTTTGAGCTTTTTAATACTACTGTATGTCACTGCTCAGTTTGTTTCATTTCTCTTCATGGACAAAGTGCTCATGATTGATTAGCAGAGCCTAAATGACAGCAGCCAGGAGTCTCTCTTTCTGCTGATGCCATTTGGCAACAATGAAAAAATCCATTATTTATCCATCAACAGCACATGTCTACAGATGATTCGTGGTTAGTGCTTATTCCTCCCAAGCCCCGAGGTCTAAACATGTCTACCAATTAAATTCAATGGGCCGTGCTCAATGGCGCATGTCTCCAACATGGATTTATTAAAATAACTCCAGATCAGGTCAGGTCAGGTCAGGTCTCCAGATTAGTTTAGCCCAGCTAGTTACTTCTGGTGGCTCCCTGCCCATTAAACATACAGTAGTGCTCTTTTCTCCTCCGGGCACATGAAGAGGAGCTAGAGCAGAGCAGAACTGACGATTATGAGCTGTGAAAAGGGTCACAGTCTAAAATTATTACTATTATTTGTGATGAGATTGTTTGATTATTATTTTAATAGATACACGATTCCTCCCCGTTTCATGTAAAATGGGTCCGGCCGTGAGAATGTGAGGAAATGGACATGGCAGTATTAGGACACAGACAGAGTAAGAAAACAGACTTTAGGACATCGCTGTAAACGGCCTCATGTGAATGAGCAGCTTTTGTACAGATCCACGTCAAACCAAACTGTAGAGCAGAGCTGAGCCGATACAGGGAGCAGGCGAGGGGCTGTGCTCTGCTGTGGGAGGGCATCCGGACGACTCCCCACACAGCACACAAACATGTTAGGAATGTTAAGCATTTATCATCCTAATATATTTAAAAATAAAAGAAGTCTTGAGAATGTTACATGTTGTTTTTCAGTCCACTCGTTTGGTATTTATTTTTACGATTCTGGCAATTCACTGAACGTGTCACACCACCCATCAGTCTGCTCCATTCACCTGATGTTCAGGCACGAAACACCGACTGTTTAGGACTCCACACCCCACAGTTGTGCCAAGTGCTAAGACTGGGGGCAAGATCAGACCCATAGTCTCTATTCACGCTTATGTCACAAACCCGGAAGACGTTTGGAAACATGCGATGACAACTTCCTGACACTGGGCTCGCTGACCGACTGTGATCAAACCCACTGAAGTAAATGTGATTAGTGGTAAAATGAAGACTGCAGGTGTATGTGCTGTTTGGAATCATCTGGAATTTGACCCCTCATCTCTTCTAATCACATGTACCAGTGCACTCAGAGTTGTGTGTCAGTGGGGAAATGATGAAAACTGAGGTATGGTTGGAATTGTTGAACGGAAGGCTACAATGACATGAAGGTGAAGAAAACTGACACATTTTCTCATTTTTCCTACATTTTGTCAGACTACCACAAACAGAACCCAAAGGAAGTTGTCATCACATGTTTCCAAATGTCTTCCTGGTTTGTGATGTAAGCGTGAATAGAGACTATTGGCCATTAAAAATATGACGTCTTCTGCAACATGTAACAGCGGTGGTATCATTTTTTGGGGGGTGCCTAAGCCAAAATTATAAATATATATTATAAATATATGTATTATATATAGGCTCTATAATATTATAACGAATGCCAGAAACAGACAGTCATTTTGGTCACTATTGAACGATATCTATCAGAGCACAATGCACAGCCCCTCAACACAACACACCGCTCACAACCCGCTCCAATAACACAATGAAACACACCGCTCACACCCAGCCCCAACAACCAGCCTCAACAACCAGCCCCAACAACACAACCTGGTCTACCTCTCACAACCAGCTTCAACAACATCAGCAACATTACAATAAGAAGCTGAGGTCACAACACAAACACATGGCATCAGCACCGCTCCTACAGCACACGACAGAACACCGAAGAGCCTCCGTGGCACCCACAAGTTGATTTATACACTATTTAACTGTTAACACTATAACATTTACCTGTGATTTGCCCAGAACTAATGATAACAAGCCTCTTAACTTCTCCAGAGGAGCACAGTGTGTCCTCTATCCACTGTCCTGTTGGTTTTGTCTCCAAAAGTGTGTTGTCCAATATGACGACATGGAACAGGTGTCCACAGAGCGCGATTGGGCGATGGCCGCACTTAACTCCGTGCGGCATGGAGCTCTGCGCCAGTCCTTTCGCCTGCGGTCACCAGACAGTCTACACGGGTGCACCTTAGTGCTGGGTTAGTCCTGGGTTAGTCCTGGGTTAGTCCTGGGTTAGTCCTGGGTTATCACAGGCACGGGCGGTGATGGGTGGTATGTTAATGGGTTCGGGCGGGTGCAGAACCTGTGCAGGACTCTGGCTCGCGTCACGTTGGTCATGTGCGGTGATCGCGGTGGCCCAACCTCCATTGCAGTCGGCCTCTTAGTACCGCGGTGATTCACTTTTGAGGTTATTGCGACAGCCCTAACTTATTGACGTCAAATTTTCTCCAAACTTCAGGCTCTTTCATAGATCTTCATTAAGCTCCAACTTAGCGAACTTATATAAATTAAATATGTGTATGTGTGTATATATATATATATATATATATATATATATATATATATATATATATATATATATATATATATATATATATATATATATATATATATAAACACAAAAACATTTCGTATCTCACCATTTTTACAAATTTAAACAATCTGACTACATTACCCACACGCCCCTTTGACCGCGCAGCCGCAGTAAGTCTCGCTTTGGTGACGCTGATGTTGTCTTAACCCAGTTTTGTGTCCTCTTTCTCTGCTCCATTTGAGCCTCCAACTCCCGCCGCAGTTATGTAGCCCACGGTGAAAGGACTTTACTCCCTCCGTGACCGTGGCATTTAGCTCGTGTCACTGTTTGTTTTACATTTAGCGCCTTTTTGTGCACATTTTACCCGCTGCAATCTGCCAGGAGCTAACTGCAGCTAGCCACCGCCTCGCTACAAACAAGCGCACGTCCGTAGGTCTGCTGAGGCTCAGGGGCTTCTGTGTCCTCCGACCGTGTCCGTGTACGTGATCCGGGCTAAAAGAGACGGAGGAGCCGGTGTTTGTGCTGACTGATGCCGCAGGAGAAGTGAAACATGTGGCAAAGCGTGGGACTCACTTTGCTGGTCATTGTGGCTACGCTCATCTGCGCCCTGCTTTTTATGCTTTTTGGTGAGTATTTTTACATAAATGGCTAATTTTACGCTTTTTTCTGATTTATTTTATAATTTTGTGTCCTCATCGAAAACATAAACAGTGTTGGGTTTTGTTTCGTTCATGTTTGACATGTTCTTCTCTCAAACTGAAAACACTCTGTTCCACCTTGTGATGTCATTTGGTAATACAGGAAGTGCTCCACTGTGTTTATCAAACATCTGTTAGGGTGATGGTTAAGACAGCATTTAAGATAATTTACATTCCTCTGTGTTGAAAATATGTACTATGTACTCTATGCATAAATAATACTAATGATTAGGGGTGTGCAAAACTATTGAAATATCGATAAATTGTGTTGTTTAATTTGATGATACAGTATCGATATCATAGGCTGCTGTGTTGATATATCACCAAGAGTATTTTTTAGGTGTATTTTACTAAATTATTTGGTGTAATATCTATAATTGTGTTTACATTTTCACTGTTTTGATGAGTAAAATGTCGTTTTTCATATTCACTTTGCACAAACTCAGCGGACTAAGTAAAGACTTTTGTATCACAGCCATGACTTAGCCTTTGGTTTTCACTGAATCAAATTGAATCGTTTTGAAATATATCGTATCAAATTGAAAGTGCACTGTATTGAAAAACTTAACGTATCGTATAAGCAGCATCTTAATAATACCCAGCTCTACTAATGATGAAAAAAATATGACTACATAACATATAGGACTAAAATATATGAATTTTAAACTCTATACACTTTCACTAAAATAATTTGGATGAATTCACACCTGGAATTACCAATCTCTACTGAACTAAAGGTAAAAGGAACTACTGACTTAAAAACTCATGACATCACAAGGTGGAGCAGAGCATTTTGAGTTCTGGACATGTTGACAGACTAATAATAAAGAACTACTCAAACATGAAAACAAAACATGACTCCAGGTTTTTTTCTGATGAGATGACAACATTCTAACATGACTCATGGCTCATAAGAATCAATTTTGTGTAATATGGGACCATTAAATGACAGTGCATTTTACTGTAATTGGGTAAGACTTCCTGGTTACGTAACAGCAAGTATTTCAGACGTGTATATAGAAGTATGAGGTGGCAAACGTGTACTGAATGTCCTTTAGTTACTGCAGTAGTTTGGAGGTTTCTATTTTTACCTCAGCAGAGACCACAGGCTCATGTTTGTGCAGATGCTTAATCAGTCACTCCTTTGAGAATGCTGACTCTACACCGTGAAACGGAAACTGTAATTTGAGTTTGTGCACTTATTTGATTAATACATTGTTCTGTGTACAGATTTTGAATGGAAAACCCTTGTTGTACCTATACTAGTTTAGATCTCTAGAATGTTCCTGTGTGTCAGATGCCTCCCTGTGCCTCCATGAGGTTTTACTCTGTGTAAAAGCTGCTCACCCTGTAGTTTAGACTTCTACAAACATGATCTGAATGCATAGGATTCCTGTATTAGTTTGTTAGTTCATATTTCAGTCTTCTCCAATGTTCTTGCTTCTGGAGTTGTTTACAATGTGCTGTCTGAACTAGGGGTGTCCAAAAATATCGAAATATCATATAGTTTAATATGATGATACAGTTTTGGTATCGTGGGCTGCTGTATCGATATATCAGCAAGAGTATTTTTTTGGTTTATCTCAATTATTTTGTTACAGCTACAGTTTTGTTGTTTCTTTAGAGCAGGGGGGGCTCACACTTTTTCTGTGATGCACGCTGGTACACGAGGGCACGCGCTGTCGCAGACGAGCCGTGCATAGGGAGCATGTGTGTTTGTGATGTGCCGTAGAGTCTCCGCGGGTTTCAAATGAGCGCACAGGCTGCACTGAGACGCCCCACACGCTCCTGCACCCGCTACAAGTTTATTGCCAACAGCAGCGGCCGTAATGAAATATGATCACACTTGTTGAGTGTCAGACCTTGAGTGAGAGACAAGACCGAGTCCAAACGTGAGTCTGAGACGAGACACGGCGATCTACCCACACGACCTTGGCGATCGACTGGTAGGTCGCGATCGACGTATTGAGCACCCCTGGTTTAGAGGAAGGAAACTCGTTCGACACGTTTGACATTTTCACTATTTTAAGACTAAAATGTTTGTGTTTCAACATTCACTTTGCACAAGAAGTGGTTTCACAAAGACTTTTAGTATCACAACCAAGATTTAGCCTTTTTTTTTTTTTTTTTTTTTAACTGTATCAAATCGAATTGAAATGCCACTGTATCGAGGTATGTATCGTCGAGGTATGTATCGTATTGGCAACTTCTTAATGATACCCAGCCCTAGTCTGAACAGAATCTTATGTTTTAAACATGTATCGCAATTGGAAAACTCAATTGGAAAGAAAAGTCACAAAATGAGATTAGTTTGTGCAGCTGTTGTAAATGTAAATGCTATTTTATCGTGGTAGGACGAGACAGAATTTACACAAGACGAAATTGGGTCCATGAGAACATAACAAAACGATATTTTGACATAATTTCAAATATGTAAATAGTCCGATTTAGTTCGCAAAGTTGGCTTCAGAATTCAGATTTACTTCATTGTTTTCATTCTAGCAGTACTTTTTGGAACTGCAGCTTCTCAAAAGATGCAACCCACCAGCACTTAACCTTTTTTTATCCAATCCAAATGGGGAAAAAATCTCAAAAGATAATTTTTCCCCTTTTTGTCTCGCGGGATCTTGTGGCACGAGATCTTGTCCCATCCCTGCTCTCTTATTATCTCATCCTAGACTGATCCTTCATTTTCCAAGCTTTTAAGCAATATTTGGAAGCTCAAGCATTGTTCTCTGTAGGTTTGTCAGAAATGAAATGAAGCTTTCCTGAATGTCTTTAGAATGATCTGGAGCTGTATCAGCACATGGACCACTATGAAATTTACCTGGACCACTGAGGGCTTACATAGATATAAGACACATGGGAATAAAAAAGAAAGTACTATGTTTTAAAGTTGAAAATTGTATTGTCAAAAAAGAGTTTTTTATTATCATCGTGTATCAGAATCAGTATTGTGTATCAAGTCTATTCCTTAGTATTGAAATTGAGTTGGAAATGTTAGTATCGTGGCAACACTAGTTCTATGTTTTGGAAACTTATATCAGGCTGTGAAATTAGTCACTGTTGACTAATTTCACTTTCCACTGATAACACTGTTGTTATCCGTGGAAAGTGAAAGGACTTGTCTGCTGCAAGCTGATAACATTTGATAATAAGGTTAAAATATGCAAATAATAACAGCGAGCTCTAAAGTTGAGATGCATAATCGTGATGGAGGCTGTGCAAGTGTATATTGATCAGAATCTGTCTGAAGAACGCGTCGCTTCCTTCTTCTGTGTTCTGATTCTTCTGATTCTGCAGGAAATGAGTGAGTAAATCCCGCCCACAGACACAGCAAGAAGAAGATCTAAACTTCTCACTGAGACCAATAAATTTGATTTTTTTCTTTCTTTTTGCTACTGAAGCCTCCCTCATTTTTACTCCTTCATTCCATGTTTTTCTTTTTGTGGAAAAACTTATGTATCTCTTGATGATAAATGATTCATCCATTTGCGAAGCCTGATGAGTTTTTGGACTACAGACAAAGGTTTATTCTTGTTACAGCAGATATGGACAGGGCCTAGAGACCAACAGCCTCTCCTGAGTCTCCTCTCTTCAGTCACTTCATCTCTCCATCTCCCCCCAGAGCATCTGAGTATAATAGAAGAAATACAAGTTACATACATATCAAAGCAGTGTCTTTTGTTTCACAGATTTGTGCTAATCACTTCCATTTGAGGACAGGTAGGATGACACATAGTTTCATGTGGGTGGGGACAGTTGTGTCTGTTGAGCCTTTACACATGTTAATGACTGATCTGGTCTCAGGTAGAACTCACATTCATTTACAAAAAGATGGATTGAGAGAAATCTTTTCTTCACAATACAAATTTCACCACTAGGGCTGGGGATCATTCAGAAATTTCTGCTGCGATACATACCTCGACACATAAAGCCGGGGGTACACTATGCAATTTTTGACCCTTTTTGAGCTGATTTTTCACTTGTGCGACTATTTTGGGGATCGGGCCGAGTTTTGGCTTCATCGTGTGTCGTGCTTCGTGTAGTAAACATGGGGAGTAAACATTCATAGGTTGCAAGAAAATCAAACTTGTTTGAAATCCAGTCGCCTCTCGTGAGGGTTTCGCTATGCTGAAGTCGTTCCATGAGCCGATTTGCCAGAATCTGTCAGACTGAACATGCAAGAACACAGAAGCGGAAGCAGGATATGAGGTTGTGGAGGACGATGGCACCGGCGAGTGTTTTGGACACAGGACATAGAGACGCAGCTAATTGAGCAACACAGAACAGAAGTTTGGTGAAAAACTTGATGCTACTTATCTCTTGATTGATTGATTCGATATGGTTCAATATAAAATAAAGGCTAAATCATGGCTGTGATTCTAAAAGTCTTTGTTAAACCACTTCTTGAGCAACACTGATATAAAACACACACAAACAACAAAACTGTAGCACTGTAACAAAATAATTTAGTGAAATACACCAAAAAAGACGCTTGGTGATATCGATACAGCAGCCCACGATATTAATACTGTAAGTAAGTAAGTACAGTAAGTAAATCTTTATTTATATAGCTCCTTTCACAGATTAAAAAAAAAAATCACAAAGTGCTTTACAGAGCAAAAAACAACATAAAAACAACATAAACAAGAACAGAGGAATTACAGATACAGACAACTAGAAGCCTGTTTAAAGAGCAGTGTCTTGAGCTGCTTTTTAAAAGAGTCTGTAGAGTCTGTTTCATGTAGGACTAGGGGCAGGGCATTCCATAATTTGGGAGCCACAGCCTGAAAGCACACATATATATTCATATATTTTGGATTATATATTTGCCGTCATCATTATGTTTTTAAAATGTAGAAAGTAGTAAACATCAAGAAAAAGGTTGTGTCCAGGTTTTTCTTTTAGTTTCAGATTGTCAGTGAAAGTTTAAAATACCACAACAGAGATGCAGCAGCCTTGTAATTATGATGATCAAAAAAAAAAAAAAAAAGAATGAAAATCAATCAACTGTGGATGTAGTGAGGCCAGATAAACATCAGCCAATGGAAAACGAGGCTCCCTCATTTTCTATTGGCTGTTAGGTTGTCAATCAAACTCCCTACATTTCTGGTGTAACTGACTCATCGGCGCACGGAGATTACGTGGTTTATGCAGCGGCTCTTAGAGGCTTTTTCAAACTGTCGCACAAAGTTTGTTGCAATGGCGGACGAGAATCCACGACCAGTTCGCAAAAGAAAGTCAGTTTTTGAGGTCACTGAAAGAAGAAGAGAAGGGGAAAAGGAGCAAAGACAAACTGAGGTGATTCTTGGAGATTTCTTCCAGCGATGGCTCGAATGAAGCAGACGAAGGGTCTAAAAACTGACGTGTCGGACGCTAAATTACTTCTAGATAGGTCACTTCAACAGTAATTCTGAACATGCACTGGCTTTAAACAAGCATGATTTCTAGAGTAAAGAGGCGGGAGGAGATGTTTCTACTGAGGGAGCTGTGGAGGAGGATGGTGGTGTCAGGCATGAACATTTGAAAAAGGACTGTCGCTGTATTTCTCTTCCCTTAAAAAATCCTCTAAACAACCTTTAAATTGTAACCGTTTACTCACTTTTTGCCCTCCTCTGCCCCCTTCAGGCTGGTACGTGGTGTGGCAGCTCTTCCTGTCCAAGTTCAAGTTCCTGCGCGAACTCGTGAGCGACGCCACGACCCCCCAGGCTGAGACCCAGGAACCCAAGACCCCCGCAGACTCCGAGACCAGACCCGAGACCAACCAGATGCCTCTGAGGTCCAGGCCCAAGAGCGCGAGGCAAAGACTGGCCTCTCCGGAAGTCTCCTAAACACTATCTTCGCTTCGAGAGATGAGAGATTTTAAAGTTTTGTCCTAATTTTGAAGTTTATGGACGCCAGGGTCAGCTGTCAGATCACTTTAACGTAACCAGCTCTTCATCTGGTTCAAAAGGGAAAAGCCATTGGTTTCATATTGGCCTCTATCTGTCCATTCCTTCTGTGTGATGTTGGGTTTGTAATTGTGACTTTTTTTTTATGTGTAAAGATGCATTGTGTAACTTTTCTGGTGAAGGGTTGTCAGAAGTATCGAAAATCAGTTACAGATACTCATTTGAGCAAGTATCGATACTAAAAAAAACCTTTGGACCTTTCTTGAATAGCCTGGGAATGATCTTGAAATGTTAGTATTGTATCACTACCATAGAGATTCTGCTTTTGTTTTACTTGACATGTTCCGCACTATGGCATTAAACTTATCTATCTCCATGATGACAAGCAGGTCTGCGCGGTTACAGGTCAGATCTGTGGATAGGCGACCGCTGTAAGAACGGATGTTTATAGTTATTTTTGTAGAACTTAAAAAACACCTGTAATTGAATGTCATACTGTGGAACATTCTTAGTAAAGCTGTAATATCTCCATGGAAACGAGTTGATGGACCCTCCACCTGAAATGTTACACAATGCATCATTCAGCTTGAGATGGGTGATGTGGACAACTTCTCTTGATTATATTGAAAAGATTGTGCAGTCCGTGAGAGTTAAGCTCAAATGTGCCTGAACACGTCTTGGTTGAAGTTCAAATATTGCACAAAACATGAATGGGCTGTACAGTGAACCAGAAGAGTGCAGAAATATCTCCTCATACCCTTGTTTTTAAGGCTTATCTACTTAATTTGACAGTTTGTCAACAGCCACTCTATCTTCTGGAGGAGATACAGCACTCTGCACAGGGCCTCATCAAACAAATGCTTTGCTTTTTTATGTTAAGTTACTTTTTACCATCATTGTAGCAAAAGTGACATTTAAGGCCAGTAAAAAAAAAACTACAAAATGTGATTAACCATAACCTGATTCATGACATGAACCGTGACATTAACCATGACATGAATCATAGCTTAAACCAGGGGTGTCAAACATGCGGCCCGGGGGCCGGATCCGGCCCTCCAAGACCTTTAATCTGGCCCTCAGCTGATTTTCTACTAAAATATTTGAATTATATTTTCTATTAAAATATTGTTAATTTTCTGTGGTGTTTATCACAGCAGCATCTCCAGTGCCTCTGTACGTGGCCCCTCCCACCAGAGCAGCACAAATGAAGACTTGTCTCTTTCCAAACGCTCTTAAAGGACGATCGTTTTGACTGTTGACCGTGACACCCTCATCAGAAAAATGTCCAACATGAGAAAAGTGGAGCCGAGTGCAGGATTTTCCAAGAAAAATTAACTTATTCCTATTTACATACAAGTTCATGTTAAAACATTGGGTTGAAATTGCATTTTTCTTAAAGTTTCAGGTTGTTCATAATATTATAATATTTTGTAAAAGAAAGAGTTCATCAATTTCTGTAATAGATTTGTGTTTCTCTGCACAAATATTTGAACTTATTGCTATTTTTGGGGCATATATGCCTTTTTTTTTTTTTTTTTTCGGCCCCTTTGGGACCAAAGTAGGTTGGATACGGCCCCCGGACCAAAATGAGTTTGACACCTCTGGCGTAAACCATAACATGAACCATGACATGAACCATGACATGAACCATAACATAAAGTATAACATAAACCGGTGATTCTACTAAAATGGACTCTTCATCCTGGCTCCTTTTAGTGGGAGATACCAGGAGCATGTTAACGTTCAGTCCTTTGAGTCAGTGTGTTAAAATGGGTAAGAACTGAATTGCTCAAACAACTAAGTCAGACCTCCAAAACTGTGGTTCTTGTGGAGTGCCTAAGATCTGGGTTAAACCTGGTTTAGTCTCAGGTTAGATCCTGGTTTAGTTCAGGGTTAGAGCGGGCGGTTGGAGCTTAGTCCTGGTTTGGTACAGCTCTTGTGGGGTGTTCTAGGTCTGCTGCTGTCAGAGGAGCTTTAGTCCTGGTTTCGATCTGGTTTGGACCTTGTTTAGACCTTGTCAAGACCAGGTTTATTTCTGGGCGGTTAAACCTGTTTTAGTCCAGATTGTGAGTCCATCTTGTGTAAAACTGATTCATGTAAGATTTTTTAAAATTTTCACTTTTAACAAAACACATCCGCCCAAGTACGTTTCTGAAATAGTGTCAAATTGTGCCAAAGTACGACTAACTTATTTTAATGTTTTCTCAACTCAAACAACTATTTTATTCTGAAATGTCCTAGTTTTATCTCATACTGACATGCTTTAATATTCTAGATCTTTAACAAGGCACTGGCCCTATCTCGCAACAATAACTGACATATAATAACAGCTGCTTTTAAGAACATAAGCATTACTCGTTTTTTGCCATTCAATACTGTCAATATTAAAAGATACATTGCGTAACTTTTGGTGAAGGTGTCGTAATTACCTGCTTGAAATATGAACATTTACTGGAATATCTCACAGTAAAGCCAAGTTACAGGTCAGATCTGCGTAGAGGTGACCCCACTCAATGTTAAACTACTATGCTTTTTGCACATGCAAGTAGTTGTAATGTCATATTGTGGAACATTCTAGTAAAAGTGTTCATATTTCCATGGAGACAACAGATAGTAGAAAAGATCCATAATGTATCTTCAACTCTGAACTCTAACCGTGTCAGTCTGTCTAAACCATTTCAGTGTGCTTTTCTCATTCATCGAAAGTGCAATGTTTTCAGTTTCTTACACATTTTTGTTTGGTGAATTCCATCCAGTAACTCTTTTCGTCGTTTTTATTTTGGACGCATTTTAACAAAGACGCAGTGAAAGGAAAACTGCCGAGTTAAAAGGAAGCGCGCGGTGCCTCGGGCCTGTTCCAAACAAACGTGGATATTTTTGTAAACAACATTTGAAAGACATTTGAAACTTAGTAACTTGAAATACTCATAGACGTATTGAACTATTACCTCACTGTTTATGTAACGGCTCACACCTTAGTCCCTCAATAAAGTCAAGGATTTACACAAAGTCTCCGTGTGTTCTTATCGCTGTCACTTTTAAAGGCACATTTAACGTTATTTTTTTTGTGTGTTATAATGTTTCCTCATCACAAACAGATCTTGAGATGTTCAGTAGAGTCATTTGGATAATTTCAGCTCTAGAATTGCCAATCTCTACTGCATTAAAGGTAAAAAAAATAAATAAATAAAGGAGCTGTTAACTTGAAAACTACCACTTCATGACATCACAAGGTGGAACAGCATTTTGAGTTTTGGAAATGCTGACAGACTAATAATAAAGAGATACTCAAACGTGTGAATGAAACAAAACACAACTCCAGCTCTGTTTTTGAGGAAGTAACAGTAATTATAACTATAATTATTAAATGTAATCAGCCTTTAACGTTTAATTTCCTGTTTATGGGCAACATTTTGAGGATTTTTCAACACTGAAATGATAAAATATTCTATTTTCGGTTGCTTATTACTATAGTAACAGTCCTAATTTTTCATCACTGCGTCACTACAGTGGTGCAGTGATTATACTTTTACCCAATAGCCACAGGGTTGACACTTTAAACCCACACACATACATAAACATTATTATTATTTTACTTTATTTATGACAAGCAATATACCATTTGGCTCTAGGCTATGCAGTTCTGTTTAACATTATGTTCAAAAATGATGTAATTTCCAAACAGTAACACTAGATGGCAGTAGAATTCCAACTATTAAAGAGTGATTTAGTTTGACACCCAGTGCAACCATGAGCGCAGCAGCCACAGTCATATTTTTGAAAATATTGTAAAATATACGTTAAAACAGGGGTCATCAAACTAAGGCCCTCCACACCCTTTTGACCGCCCCCCCGAGCCCCTCTGCCCCCCAACACTTGTACTGGTCCTATGACACAATCCTCCAAAGTTCTTGGCCTGTTTTTTAAAATGACTCTTTGGCAAATAATAACATGTCTGCATCTTGAGTATTTTGTTGAAAGACATTTATCAAACTGTTTATCAAACAGTGACAGTCGACATACGCACAGAGTTCTGTAGTGCAGTTAGTTCAATAAGTGGAATATCTGCGGTATTTCAAATTAAAACAAAGTTTGAAGTACTTTACTTTTTTTGCAAACCACTAGTAATGATGAACAAATATGTGTCAGGAGTGATGTGTTGATGTAGTATTGTGGAGGCTGTGCCAGGTGAGTCTTTTCTACTCCACACTGAGGCCTGCTGGTGTCATTTTGGTCTGGGTCGTACAGTTGTGTTAAACGGCCCCGACTCCGGACCCCGGACCCCATCACAGTGATAATGGAGTGATAATGTAGCCTGATTCATCAGCTGGTTTTACTTCGTTTCACTTCGTACAAACCATCTGACCTCGCAGCGTTGGATTTCGTTCGCTCGATGGTAGGTGGATACTTTTTATCATTTAACCAATCGCTGCTAGTTGGTTGTGACCTATGTAAAGCAGCGCTAAAGGGGATAACTGGTATATTAAGCTTTTCCCAAATCTGGTAGGAAGAAGGACAATAACCTCTTTCCTCTTGATAAAATTCACCAAACATTCTCTTTGTTCCGGCTTTAAATCCTTGATCTCAGGAATCGTTGACAACATTGAATATATGGCTCTTCGCTGATTGACTCGTGCCCGAACTTGTACTTCCGAGGTTTTTGTGAACCGTCTAGAGTATTTTGATTCCTGACCTAGTTGCTGAAGAGAAATAAAATTGAGCGGAGGCACTAGGTGGCACCAGCCTGGCTAGTGATAATGTGGCCCCCAGAGAAAAAAGTTTGGTGACCCTGTGTTAAAACAATAACTAATCCATTAAGAATAATATAACTGGATTAAATGTACTGACTCCAGACTTTGAGGACTTTTATCTCAGTAAAAAACAGACAGTCATAATGGTAAAAACTCATTCAAACTGTAAATAACTGTACTAATAATTGAGTTTAATTGTTGATATTATTCTGTTAGGCGCTTCACAGTTTCATGTTCATGTTTTTAAGGCAAAATCATGAATCAAGAATTGTTACAAAATGGCTGTTTTAATGTCCCTACTTAAAGCTTCTGTCACCTGTTTGTCTTTGTTCTGCTTGGAATGTTCCACAGTATGACTTTAAACAGCTCTACCTTACATTTATTCAGTTACAGGTGGTTTTATCGCTCAAAAATACTTAGAATACTCCACAGATCTGACCTGTAACTTGGTCGCCATGAAGATAGAATGGTTTAATGCCATACTGTGAAACATTCCAGGTAAAACAATAACACTTTCATAAGGAAAATTACATAATACACCTTTAAAAGTCCTTTATTACACAAAATTGTAAAACTTATGAGCTTTAAGTCATGTTATTATGTTGTTACCTTCTCAAAAACAAACCTGGAGTTTTGTTTTGTTTTCATTCACACATCTCCAAAGCTCAAAATGTTCTGTTCCACCTTGTGATGTCATGAAGCTGTAGTTTTCAGGTTAATGGGTACGTTTTACCTTTAGTTCAATAGAGTTTGGCAATTCCGGGTCTAAAATTTTCCAAATGATTCTCTTGAAGGTGTGTGGAGTTTAAAAACAGTGGAGCACGTCACAAGATTTTCAGTTTGAGAGACGAACTAAACACTGCTTAAATGTGCAAGGGTTTGTGTGTTAAACATGTGTGAATGAAATAAAACACAACTCCAGATCTGTTTGTGATGAAGAAACAAGATTATAACAGACCAGAAAACAGTGTAGTATGAGCCTTTCATTAAAAATACTTGTTGCAATACAGAAGTTCGACTTGTTATTGCGAAAACGTCTCCAGTCGGATTACATTTCTAAACGACAAAAACGCAGACGGTTCATTATCGTACAAAATGAGCCAGACTTGGAATTCTGGGCCTGATGAAGCTTCTATGACATCATGTTGACCACAGACCACAAATCCGAACCACACACACCTGAACGTTTCTCTGCACCACTCAAGTTTCCCAAATGATTCTTGTTTAAATGAGAAACCGCAGCAGTAAAAGCTCGGGAGTATAATGGCTTTGTAACTGGTTGTCATGACGATGTGTTGGAGTCTGAGCGTTTGTGTTCAGATGCAAGGGTCGGATACTGCAAACCACTCACAGGAAGCAATTGTGGAAGGTACAAAAATGAAGTACAAAAGTAAAAATACAATACTTAAATACAGTTTTTAGGTGTCTGTACTTTACTTAAAGGTTGTATGGAGGATGTTTTAGTTTCAAATTTTCAGTGAAAGTCCAAAATAGCGTAGAGACGCAGCAAGGTTACCTCGTTATCTATTGGCTGTTAGGTTGTGAGTGTCCGTAAGTTTCTAGTGTAACTGACTTGCCGGTGGGCTGAGATTATGTGGTTTACATTTGGGCTCGGTCAAGCAGAAGTAAACAACAAGGCCAAAAATTCAAGTTAATGCATCTGATATAAAAATGTATTGAACAGATACATATGTACTCTAGTTTATGAAACTGTTGACCTTTTTTCTGTACCATTTTTGGTTCTAAAGTTCCATATGTTTTAAACAGACCATGTATGAAACATGGAACAAAAATTATTTCCCAAATTTCAAAGACCTGCAAATCATGTCAATAAATGGATGTATTTCATCATATCTTGTGTTATTCCATCTGTGAACTGTTGAAGAAGGTACATGATTTAAAAAAAAAAAGTATTTAAAATGATAAAAATTTACTTGGAAGGACTGACATATTTTATAGAAATAGTTTCCTTTCATTTTGAAGTAATATTAAAGTATTCAGAAGAAAAAAGTTGACAAATTATGCAAAATCCTGCACCTTCTACTTGTTTGTACAATTTTCCCTCCGTTACTTTTCCCTCCGTTACCATGACCTTTCTTAATAAAAAATCTCATGAGTCAAAAAGTAAGAGGTTTTTCAACCTAATCTTGTACCATATGGTAGAAAACTATATGAAGCAAATATTCAAACCAGTTTGTTAAGGATATGGAAGTGAGAACCAAGAGTTATCACTGTTTGGATTTATTGACCAAAAAGTGCCGCATATTTCATTCCCTCCGTTACCGACATGAGTTTTTTAATTTTTTGTCTTGAACTTGAAAGAATATCACAGGTTTAACTTGACCCTGTTGGAGTGTAACTCTTTCCTACATTCTGATACTTTACTTATTTCAATAGTCCCTCTAGTTTCTGAATAAGAGACATTTGAATGTCAAAAATCTGCCCCAGTTTCCCTCTGTTACCACTTGACCAAACCCATTTGCCTCTCACGCATTCCACGTAAGATGCTGTTTACTCGACCAACACTGCGGTTCTTAGCAGCTTTTTCAAACTGTAGCTTTGTTTGTTGCAGTGGCAGACAAAAATCCACAACCAGTTCGCTGCAAAAGAAAGTCAAAAAGTGAAGCCACTGGTGTGACTGCAGCAACAAGGGGACTAAAGACTGACACCTTGGTCGTTAAATGACGTCTGGACAGGAAACTTCAACAGTAATTCGTTCACGTGCACTGACTGTAAACAAGTAGCCAGGCTAGTGCCACCTAGTGCCTCCGCTCAATTTCGAGTGCGAGTTCGGGCACCAGCCAGTCAGCAAAGAGCCATACATTCTATGTTGTCAATGATTCCCAAGATCGAGGATTTAAAGCCGGAACAAAGAGAATGTTTGGTGAATTTTATCAAGAGGAAAGACGTTATTGTCCTTCTTCCTACGGGATTTGGGAAAAGTTTAAGGGAAGACCCAGAACTCCTGGAGGGACTATGTCTCTGGACTGGCCAGGGAACACCGCGAGGTCCCCCCGGAGGAGCTGTCTTTACCTCTTCTCCCTCCCTCTCTCTCCTCCCTCTCTTTCCTCACTCGCTCTCTCCTCTCTCCCTCCCTCCCTCTCTCTCCTCTCTCCCATCCTTTCTCTCTGTCTTTACCTCTTCCTCCCTCCCTCTCTCTCCTCCCTCCCCATCTCTTTCCTTTCCTTTCACTTTCTCTTTACATCCTCTCCCTCTCTCCTTCTCTCTCCTCTCCCTCCCTTTCTCTCTCTCTTTACCTCCCCTCCTCCTCTCTCTCCCTCTCTCCTCCCTCTCTCTCCTCTCTCCCTCCCTCCCTTTCTCTTTCTCTTTACTTCCGCTCCTCCTTCTCTCCCTCCCTCTTCCTTCCTTTTTATTATAATTATTTGATACATATTTGTGCATATTAGTGTTTTTTAAAGTTGCTCTATATAACTGTTCTGGTGGAGGTTGTATACAGGACCTGGTCGTCATGGAGATGTTACAGCAGCACAGGAATGTTCCACAGTGCGACCGTTTGGACGTGCACACATGTCATCTGAAAGTTTTTGACTTGCAGAGATTGGGAGAGGAAGAGGAGCAGCTGGAGAAGAGATTGATCAAATATGAAATCAAAAATGTTAAGAATGAAAACACAAGGCCGGGCCAAAGTCTGAACACACTTTTGAAATGTGATGTTTCTTGTTTATTTCCAGGATTCTTTCCACTGTAGAGTCTCACTGAAGCATGAAAACTGTGAATAACACACGTGGAACGAAGTAAACAAAAATACACTCCAAATAACTCCAAACATGTTTCAGATTAAAAAAAAAAAAACTTCACCTTTTGCTTTGATCACTACTTTCTTACTTGAATAGAAAATATAACAAATATGTAGATATTAAATATACCAAATATTTATTTATAATTCCATAGATGTTACTTCATATATTTGAGATCTTATGTTCACTGCCTCAAGTGAAGAGTTCAAGTATCTCAGGGTCTTGTTCACGAGTGAAGGAAGTATACTGTGTATATGCAGTATGTATGAAGTATACTGTGTATATGCAGTATGTATGAAGTATACTGTGTATATGCAGTATGTATGAAGTATACTCTGTGTATATGCAGTATGTATGAAGTATACTCTGTGTGTATGCAGTATGTATGAAGTATAATGTGTAAATATGCAGTATGTATGAAGTATACTCTGTGTATATGCAGTATGTATGAAGTATACTCTGTGTATATGCAGTATGTATGAAGTATACTGTGTATATGCAGTATGTATGAAGTATACTGTGTATATGCAGTATGTATGAAGTATACTGTGTGTGTATGCAGTATGTATGAAGTATACTGTGTATGTATGCAGTATGTATGAAGTATACTGTGTATGTATGCAGTATGTATGAAGTATACTGTGTATATGCAGTATGTATGAAGTATACTGTGTATGTATACAGTATGTATGAAGTATACTGTGTATGTATACAGTATGTATGAAGTATACTCTGTGTGTATACAGTATGTATGAAGTATACTCTGTGTGTATACAGTATGTATGAAGTATACTCTGTGTGTATACAGTATGTATGAAGTATACTGTGTATGTATACAGTATGTATGAAGTATACTCTGTGTGTATACAGTATGTATGAAGTATACTGTGTATGTATACAGTATGTATGAAGTATACTGTGTATGTATGCAGTATGTATGAAGTATAATGTGTATGTATGCACTATGTATGAAGTATACTGTGTATATGCAGTATGTATGCAGTATGTATGAAGTATACTCTGTGTGTATGCAGTATGTATGAAGTATACTGTGTATATGCAGTATGTATGCAGAATGTATGAAGTATACTCTGTGTGTATGCAGTATGTATGAAGTATAATGTGTAAATATGCAGTATGTATGAAGTATACTCTGTGTATATGCAGTATGTATGAAGTATACTCTGTGTATATGCAGTATGTATGAAGTATACACTGTGTATATGCAGTATGTATGAAGTATACTGTGTATGTATACAGTATGTATGAAGTATACTCTGTGTGTATACAGTATGTATGAAGTATACTGTGTGTGTATACAGTATGTATGAAGTATACTCCGTGTGTATACAGTATGTATGAAGTATACTCTGTGTGTATACAGTATGTATGTATGAAGTATATACTCTGTGTGTATACAGTATGTATGAAGTATACTGTGTGTATATGCAGTATGTATGAAGTATACTCTGTGTGTATACAGTATGTATGAAGTATACTCTGTGTGTATACAGTATGTATGAAGTATACTCTGTGTGTATACAGTATGTATGAAGTATACTCTGTGTATACAGTATGTATGAAGTATACTCTGTGTGTATACAGTATGTATGAAGTATACTCTGTGTGTATACAGTATGTATGAAGTATACTCTGTGTGTATACAGTATGTATGAAGTATACTCTGTGTGTATACAGTATGTATGAATGCCTGCAACCAGGAGGGGGCGCTTTTATTTCAAGTGCTCATGTCCCCCATGAAATGCGGCCCCGGGCAGTTGCCCAGTGGGCTCGTGTCTAGGATCACCCCTCAGGTCCAAAGCTCAAATCAAGTGTGTTTAAACCCACAATGTATCTCTGATCTAAACAGTCTGTAAACCCCAGCACCTGCAGCAGTCCTGAGTCAGTGCTAGTGCAGCCTCTGCAGCTCAGGGAGGGAATTCTGGAGGTTCTGAGCTTCACATGACGCCTGAACATAAAATGAGAATGTGAGAAATGCAGGATGTGTCTGTATCTGCAGGTGAAGCCTCTGGAGACGCAGGTTCAGTTGTGATTGTAGCACCTTTTTATATCACTGTAAGAGCGCAGGAATAATAAGAGTTACATAAACACAAAACACCTCCAGAAACATAATATGTCTTCATCTTCATATTCAGCTCAAAGTTCAGTTCTGGGTTACAGTGTCATGTAGAGGACAGTTGTGTTGTCTTCATTTTATGATTTGTGTGCAGCACTTTGGAAACGGCTTTGTTTGTAAAATGTGTTATATACAAATAAAGTGGATTTGGATTTGGACACTTGACCATTCAGAAGATACAAAGTTTTGTTTAGAATATTTGATTGTTATGACGTTTGAGTGTACTTCAGTAAAAACATTTACACGATGCATTACTCAATAGTTAGGAAGATGAAATCCCCGATCTCCACGAAACAAGCAAATAAAACAAAAGAGTCCAGTTTGTAATGAGAAATCTTTACTGTTGTAGAATTGTTGAGCATGAGATCAACATAAAGACGATTTATACAGACAGAGGCAGCAGAGGCACAAGCAGCCACTTTAACAGAACGAACCCACACGTACGAAGGTGCTCCAACGGGAATGTACGAAACACATCTACAACACTACAAAACCGCCCAAACAAAACAGCCAATATTTACACCAAACATATGTACAGCCACTAAAACCGGCTAAAATCAGGCAAAATATATAAAATATGTAATAAGGAGTACTCAAAAAGGCAGCAAATATTACAGACAAAACACAGAGAAGTGAACGAGCACGGGTTTATATCAGGTTAATACAGTTCACACAGAGTTCCTATGGAGTCGGAAATCTCACACGTGTTTAGAACTGAAAATGTGTTTAGTTCATTGGAAAAATAATAATAATTTTCACTTGAATTTACTGGTTAAAATTTCATAGAGGTAAACGCTTCAATGCTAAAATATTAATAATTTAAATATTAGAACCATAAAAACAAAAGTAAAAAATGACACTGACATTACATTATTCATTTAAGTCAAATCTAAAAATATAATCTTTAAAATATGATTCGGGAAGACTGCTGTTCTTACAAAAGCATGGAGCAGGTGAATAAGAATGTACTGTAATTTTCAGACTATAAGGTGCAATATCAATAATGTTGAATTCTCTCATCTATTTTCATACTTAAGTTGCATCGAATTATAAGGAGCATTATGTGAAACAAACGGACGACATTTGAGACTGATCCTTAGCCCAGGCGTCCACAATCCATTGGCAGATCGTGGCGTAATTCGCCCGGGGTTTCCTCCCTGTCTTGGTAAATGTGGATTATGAATGTAAACGTGGGTGGATCATTTAATTTTTTTTTATTTTTTTTTATTTCCAACGAGGACGACTCAAATATACATTAATAACTAGTGATGGGCAAATAAGTCGGAGCTCTGGAGCACGTCTCGTTCTTTCTGAAACAAATCGTTCTGAAGCTCTGCCTCGGAGCTCGTCTCACAGCAGCCGCTCACGTGACCAAAGTGTGGACGTGTCGGTCCCTCCCCCTACTGCTTCACTCTGCGTGTCAGTCGCTTCAGTGTATCGAAGCGCTTCATTGGCTCAGAGAATGTTCCGCTCTATGATTGGTTCAGAGTGCTTCAGAGTGTTCAGCGCACTTCCAGGGTTTGAAAAGTGCAAAAACTGCTACATTATAAAAGATGCACCAATATTTCTTACAAATGTTGGGTAGTGAGGAGTAGTGTGGTGACGTTAGTGGTGGTTTTGGCGACTTTTGGCATTTGTTTCATTTTCGATGGCATCTACAAGTGGAAAAAGCGACCCATGGTTTGAGATCACTTTGATCTAATTCCTCCTAACAAGGTAACAACTATTTTCTTATTTACAGCTGCTATTTATGTTGCTCTTTACATATTATTTTAAATCATCACACAAGTATTGTCTTACACTAACAATACTTCATCGATGCTGAGACACCTGCGTGCCAATGGTTAAATTTGTCCACTAGAGGTCAGTGTTTCTCCGAGGCCTCAGACACGTCCAACCATTTGAGACAATATTGCGACTGAGGAGTCAATGCTTCACGAGGCTCCATTCGTCCATCACTAGTAATAACGTGTTTAATGGAGATTTGTGCACATTTGTTTACGCTTTACAAATACGAAACTTAACACTACATGGCTCATTTGCATAAACTATAAGCTCTGAAAAAACAGCTCGCTTACAGTCGCCGTAATGCTTTGACAATCCATCAAGCGTTGTGGCTCTGTAGTTTACCAAAGTTGTACTAAAACATTTTGAATTTAGAGTGTCGTGTACCACATAACATGAGTTCAATGTCAGTAAGCACCAGAAACCAGATTGAATACATAAGGAGCACTGTCGACTTTGAGAAAACTGAAGGATTTTAAGTGCACCTTATAGTCTGAAAAATATGGTAGCATGGTTTTTGCAGTCATTTAAAAATATATATTTACAAAATTGTAGGAATGTAATGACTATTGATACTTGAGAGCTGAAACATTCGCTGGGGTGTGATGCTAACTGTAGGCATGCTCTGAAACTCTGTGACTCAAGTTAGACTTTAATCTGAGGTTTGTTTTACCACAATCTGACGCGAAAGAACTGACTGAGCTAAAACGGCATCTTGGTCGCCCCCACCACCGTCTTCAGCAAAACATGTCCCTCTCAAATAAAAAAAACTCCTAAACAGAACCATAAACACTCAGACTGATCAGACACCAATAAATTTGCTCTTTAAATCCATTTTGGGGTTTTTTCAGTGTTAAAAAAACCTCTGAACATTCTGCCATAGAAATACATGTAGAACACCCCCAGCGTGATGTCACTGCAAAGTATCAACAGTTTGACATGTTCCAGCAGTAACTGTGAGTTGTACTGATTCCAGTTCTCCATAGAAACTCTGTGAGTGTTGATCAGGCGTAACATTATGACCCAGTGTCCAAACACAACACAATGTGCTCATAATGTTAGGCTTAATCTGCCAAGTACTTAACTTAAAAGACGGACTACGCAACTTTTTTGGTTATCTAATGGAGATGTTATTGCTTTGCCTGGAATGTTCCACTGTACGGCATTAAACCACTCCAAAACCTTTGTATAGTTGACAGAATAACATTTTCTTTAGCAACAAAACTACAGACAACAGGTGACAGCTCCAGGCCAAAGTACAGGTCACATCTGTGGAGAGGTGAACTTGCTCACAGCATGAACACATTTTTAAGGTATTTTTAACATCAGTTTGTAATCAATAACTACTACTGGTGTTGTCATGATACTAAAATTTGAAACTTAATTTAGATTCTAAGGAATAGACTCAGTACTCAATACCAATTCCAATACCATGATGATAATCAAAACACTCCTCCTTTAGAATGTGATTTTCAATATTAAATAGTAGTACTTCTACTGCATATATAAGGTCGTACATGTGTGTAATTCCTCAGTGGTCCAGGTAGTTTCCATAGTGGTCCATGGATGTACACTAGTCTATGTGCTCTTATGGTGCGTTCATTTATCCATCTAACTCGGAGGACGTTGCCTAGTGATAAGCACACCCTTTTCCTCAGACTGCACACGCCCCTTTTCCTCAGACTGCACACGCCCCTTTTCCTCAGACTGCACACGCCCCTTTTCCTCAGACTGCACATCTTGGAAGAACTCGGAGGAGAACGAGGAAAGATTCCAAGATAGAATTAAAGATGGGTGCGCCCAGTGTCACCTGTAAGTATGAACTGTTTTCATTGTGTTTGGACACTTCGGTGGCTTAAATGACTATTTCAGTGTTTCGTATTACTGCAGTACCTTACTGCATCTGTATTACTGCCTGTGGGTATGGTAGTCGGTGTTGTGGTGAGGCCAATATTGAATACAGACTTGTTCTAAACGGGTGTTTCTAAACATCCTGAGAGTTGCTAACAGAAGATAAACAACAACAATAACAGCTTTCACCTTGGCGTCTGCCTTTTTTCAAGTCAGACACATGAAAAACAGGGCAGCTAGTACGTTTGCTGGGTCTATTCATATATATGCTCTATGCGTGAAACATAATAAAATGCTTGAAGTGTGGACATGACGACATATCCGTGATCTAAGTGGGAGATGGATGGACAATTGAACACACCATAATATTTGTTCTGATACAACTCAAGATCATTCAGGAAAGGTTCACTTCTGTCCTGTCGATGGGACTTTGTTCGATACCTGCGAATGTGTATCTAGTTTCAATACTAGTTTTTGTATCTGTACCTGATTTTCGATTCTTTTGACAACCTTATGCCCTACTGTGGAACACTCGAGGCAAAACAATCATCTCCAAAGAGACAAGAACATGAAGGACCCTCAACCAGAAAAGTTACACATTGCATCTTTAACAAGAAAACCACATGACACAGATCAGGACATGGACATGTGCAGCAGCTGCTCTTTAAACTGTTGTGAATGTTGAGACAGCTCCGTCACTCTGTCCACCATCTCCTGAATCGCCGCCGTGTTCGGGTAATTCAGCGCCGCCATCTTGGTCGCCCCCACCACCGTCTTCAGCAAATCGCAGAGCACGTTACTGGCATTCATCACGCGATTGGCCAGTTCGGGCGTGGACACTTGGCGAGAGAGAGTATCGCCGATGAAAACCAGCTTGTGCGCGCTAAGAATGACGAATTTACTGTGAGCGACGAAGATGCGCGGAGGCTGCCCGGAGCTGACGCAGGAGAAGAACGCGTCCATGGCGCTGAGGAGGGTGAGGAAGTGTTGTCCGCACTGGTCCGAGTAGAAGACCAGGAGCTGTTTGTCCCTGGAGCAGATCTGGGGAGAGGGGCTGGCGGTCGGGGTGCTGGGGTTGGCGGGGCCGGTTGTGGGGGCGCTCGGGTCCGGTTTTTTGGGCGTTAAATTTGGGGTCAGTCCAAAACGTTGCTGTGAGATCCACTGTGAGATGTCGTTCTCCACTGGTTTGCTCACCTCCTGCTCCAGACGCTTGAACTGGTTTATCTGTGGACACAAACACATTTAATGATAAGAAGTTTTATTAATTTTTATTTAAAACAAGAGCACTGCACAGAAAACAGACAAAATAAGCTCTGTGCCAGATTTAACTGCAGTCCTTGTCCTATAAGCTCTATTCACGCTTAGGTCACAAACCCGGAAGACGTTTGGAAACATGCAACGACTTCCGGTGTAGTTCCTGACACTGGACTCACCGACTGTGATCAAACCCACTGAAGTAAATGTGATCAGTGGTAAAATGAAGACTGCAGACGTATGTGCTGTTTGGAATCATCTGGAATTTGTCCCTCATCTCTTCTAATCACATGTACCAGTGCACTCAGAGTTTTGTGTCAGTGGGGAAATGATGAAAACCGAGGTCTGGTTGGAATTGTTGATTAGCCGAAAATAACGAAACTCTACAATGACACGGAGATGAAGGAAACTGGGACATTTTTTCATTTTATCTACATAAGCCCGCTGGAAGTTGTAATCACATGTTTCCAAATGTCTTCCTGGTTTATAACATAAGTGTGAATTTAAGCTTATTGTGTAATGTTTAAGCAAAACAATCATCTCCATAAAGACAAGAACACGAAGGACCCTCAACCACATGACAGTAACACCCTAATACAGAAGAACTTCTCAATATTTTAACAGTGTATTTGACCGACTTCCTTCTGTTGACAATGTCTTAAATCAGGGGTCACCAAACTTTTTTCTGTGGGGGCCACATTATCACTCCTGACTGATGGGGCTGATTGGGTCGGTCGTGTAACAGAATTATGTGACCCTGATGATGCAGATTATATTCTTTAAAAACTGCCACACTTTCTTTACATATCAGACAAACTGCACTTACACTGAAAAAAAATAAATAATTGGTTGAAAACTCAGCACTCTTTCTCAACTTTTCGTACTTCAACACTAGACATTTTGCTGTCCTTAACTGCACTACAGTACTCTGTCCTTCACTGTACTACAGTACTCTGTCCTTCACTGTACTGCAGTACTCTGTCCTTCACTGTACTGCAGTACTCTGTCCTTCACTGTACTGCAGTACTCTGTCCTTCACTGTACTGCAGTACTCTGTCCTTCACTGTACTGCAGTACTCTGTCCTTAACTGCACTACAGTACACTGTCCTTATCTGTACTGCTGTACTGTGTCCTTCACTGTACTGCAGTACTCTCTCCTTAACTGTACTACAGAACTCTGCACATGCATTGACTGTCATTGTTTGATCTCGAGTTTGTCAGGAGATGAAAATTTGTCGTAAAATGTAAATATGTCATATAATTAATTAAATATAAATACTTCATAGAAATATTAATTTTAATTGAAAAAAACTCAATAAAATACAAGATGCAGACGTGTTTTTATTTGTCAAAACGTAATAAAAAAAAGAGTCCATGACACTTTTGAGGATTGCCTCATAGGGTCAGTTCAAGTAGTGGGGCTAGAGGGGCTGGGGGTCGGTCAAAGGGGTGTGGAGGGCCGGAGTCGGCCCGCAGACCTTAGTTTGATGGCTACTGTCTTCAAGTGTATTTAAGTTCCTGTACCTGATTTTTTTCCAGTGTATTTGAGCAAAATATGTCTTCCCCCAGTACAGATATATGGTATAAGCAGGTGTTCAAAATAAGTCCGGTGTGTACTGTCTGACTGTCTGCAGCTAATTAGAAAACATTTTATTGACAGAGAATCAGGAAATACACGTTAGCATGCTAGTTGTTGTTGGGTTTACAGTTATGGAAAAACTCTGGTCTCAGAAAGTTGTGCTAAGTGCCTATAAAGTCAATAATAAATAAAAGGTAAGTGAGGAATAACTTTTTGTCAACAGTGAGCAGTGTTGTGAACAAAGGTCTGAGGAGGTCTGGGCTCAGAGGGATGAGTTTCCTGGTGGGTTTTCAGCGGAACTGTTTTCCACAGTTTTACAGTTTCTCATGTGGAGGTGAATACTTCCTCTTTAAATCTTATTCTCCACACTCCCTCACCTCTCCACCTCTCCACCTCTCCACCCCTCCCTCCCTCACTCTCTTCTCTCTCTCTCTTCTCCTTTTCCTGTGTCAGATTAAGCAGGTTCATTTTGTTCAGGTTTCTTCCTTCTCTCCTCTGCTTCTCCTCTCTCCCTCACCTCTTCGTCCTTTCTCCATCACCTTTTCTTTCTCTCTTTCCTCCTCTCTCTTCAAGTTAGTTCAGGTTTCTTCCTCCTCGCTCCTGCTTTCTGTCTCTCCTTTTCTCTCCTCTAAACCTTCAGATGGAGCCGGTTTACATTAGTTCAGGTTTCTTCCTCCTCTCCTTCTCTCTCTTCCTCTCCACTCTTCCTCTCCTGTCCTCCCTCTCTCCTCTCGTCCTGTTTCAGAGGCAGCGGGTTCACATTAGTTCGGGTTTCTTCAGGACAAACTGATTTTTGCAGAGATCACCTGCTCCGTCACACAAACATACCTCCTGATTTCACACTGTAAATCGCTCATCCTCCTCTCCGCAGGTTGTTTTCTCCTTCATTTCCTCTCCTCCCTCTCATCTCCTCCCTCTGCTCGTCTACTCTCTCTCTCACTCCTCTGTCTTCTCTCTCTCCCTCTCTCTCTCTCCGCTCCTCCTCTCTCTACTCCTCTGTCTTCTCGTTTCCTAGCTCCCACTGTTCCTCGTCCTCTTTCTCTCTCTCCTCCTCTTTTCCTCCTTCTCGACTCCTCCTCTTTCTCCTTCTATCCCTCCCCTCCTCCTCTCCTCCCTCTCTCTTCTCCTCCATCTCTCTCTCTTCTCCTTCATCTGCTCTCCCTCTCTCCCACTGCTCCTCCTCTCTCCACTCCTCTTCCACCTCTCCTCCTCCTTTCTCTTCTCTCTCTCCTCCTCTTTCCCTCCTTCTCAACTCCTCCCCTCTCCTACTATCCCTCCCATCCTCCTCTCTTCCCTCTGCTCTTCCTCTCTCCCACTGTTCCTCCTCTCTCCAGTCGTCTCCCTTCTCTTTTCCTCTCTCCCACCGTTCCTCCCCCCTCCTTCTCTCTCCTCTTCTACCTCTCTCTTCTCTCTCCTCCTCTTTCCCTCCTTCTCCACGCCTCCTCTCTCCTGCTATCCCTCCCCTCCCTCTGCTCTTCCTCTCCCTCCCTCTCTCTTCCTCCTACCTCTGCTCCTCCTTTCTCTTCTCTCTCTCCTCCTCTTTCCATCCTTCTCCACTCCTCCTCTCTCTCCTACTATCCCCCCTCTCCTCCCCTCCCTTTTCTCTTCCTCTCTCCCACTGTTCCTCATCTCCTCCTCTACCTCTTTCTTCTCTCTCTCCTCCTCTTTCCGTCCTTCTCCACTCCTCCTCTCTCCTAGTATCCCTCCCTTGCTCCCTCTGCTCTTTCTCTCTGTGCCTTCTCTTCCTCCTCCTCCTCTTCCTCTCCTCCTCTGACCCACTTCTTGTCGTTGTTGCTCTCTTGTTTTATGAGCGTCGTGGGTCTGAGTAAAAGTCTGTATGAGAACAGCAGTAGCCGCGCGGCGCACTTAAACATCTCACATACACTTTACCAGACTTTATGTGGCACAAAATGTGTGTGTTTTCCACTTTTGAGCTTCGCACACTGAATAAAAAGACTTCCAGGATTCTACGAAGTCTGTGTGTGTGTGTGTGTGTGTGTGTGTGTGTGTGTGTGTGTGTGTGCTGTTGTGGACTGTTTTACATCTATGGGGCATTAACTGTAACACGTATCATATTTAGATCTTCATGTTACCTTTTATTGTTTTGAAAATACTTTATATATATTCTCTGTAAACACATTCTGAGTCCCTCCTCCCTTTGCTCTCCATGCTAAGTCACCCCACCTTCAGAGCGCTATCAAAACACAATCAGCGTGCGTCCTGCTAACGAAGCTACTCCATATCACATCAGGTTTGTGAAGTTGTGTACAGTTTTGTATCATGTTTTTGTATATTTATGGAGAATTGTCGTGTGGGAGGATGAGCGATGTAGGTTTGTGGGCGGAGCTTTGTACAGGATCTTACTGCTCAGAGGGATGTGTTTTGTGGTGAGTTTGAACTAGGGGTGTGCAAAAATATCGGAATATCGATATATCGTATCGTTTAATGTGATGATACAGTATCGATATCGTGGGATACTGTATCGATATATCACCAAGAGTATTTTTAGGTGTGTTTTACTAAATTATTTTGTTACAGTGCTACAGTTTTGTTGCTTGTGGAGTGAAAGGAAACTCATTTATGCAACACATTTGATATTTTCACTGTTTTGATGATTAAAATGTTTGTGTTTCATATGAACTTTGCACAAGAAGTGGTTTAACAAAGACTTTTAGTGTCACAGCCATGATTTAGCCTTTATTTTTTATTGAACCGTATCGACTCGATTTGAAATATATCATATCAAATCGAAAGTGCACTGTATCGAGATATGTATCGTATCGTGGCCTGTGTATCGAGGTATGTATCGTATCGGCAACTTCTTAATGATACCCAGCCCTAGTTTGAACATACATGGATGACATCTACAACCTCATCAGGCATGTTTTTGAGGGAATGCTAGAACATGGTAAAAAGCTAAACATAATAAATATATTTTGCATAATCCCTGCTCTTTTATCCATGTGTATTTTATGTATTCATTGTATTGTAGTAGTATTGTGTCGTGTGTTCACCTGCTCCTGCCCCAGCTGCACCTGGCTCTGTTTGATGATGTTTTCTTTGTCCAGCAGAGCTTTCTGCTGACGCTCAAAGTCTTCTTTGCCCTGAAAGGGAAAAACAGAAAGATTCTTGTGTTATTGTTGAAGCCTGAGGTTGGAGCTGCACGAGACTCTGATCTTATAAGACATTTTTACTTTTAATGTTCTATATTTTATGTTCTACTATTTAAGTTTAAGTCCAATGAGGTTCACTTGGTCTTCCGATGGGTGATGTTATTACTGTATTTTCCGGGCTATTAGTCGCTCTGGATTATAAGGAGCTCTGTCATTAAATGGTCTATTTTTGAACTTTTTTCACAAATAAACCACACTGGACTTTAAAGGAAACCCAACAGTGTGATGGGTGAGTGGTTTTGTTTGTTTATGGCGTTCACGGTGACTCTGGGCTTTGTTCAGTTGTGGTGTGTAGGGAGGGTGTGTCTGGGACCAACGGCTTGTCGGTGTGTTCACAGTGACTCAGTTGTTCAGTCGTGTCTAGAAGTGGCACATTTCACTTGCTTTTTCGGTTTGTTCCTCCTTTCCGTTCCTCGTCGGCGTGGAGTGATGAGTGTGGCTGTGGGTGTTTTTCTCTGCGTGCTCGCTGTCTGCTACGTGTGTGTTTGTGTGTTCTGTGGGTGGTGTGGTTTGGTGGTTTACTGAAGTTGTGCTGGGACACCCGAGTGGATTCGTGTATAAGGCGCTCTGGATTGTGGCGCGCAGGTGTTTTTTTGATTGGGTTAGAGGCTTAAGAGCGCGTCTAATAGCCCGGAAAATACAGTAGGTTCTTTTTTCAGCCCAACAGTTTGTTTTCAAACTTGACTGCTCGACTGCTCACTAGCGCTCTTCCTTATAGTGGTCATGTGATGTTGTTGTGACGTGTCCGGTCAGCTGTCGTCCTGCTTCCTCCAGTAGGAAGACAGCGCTGAACCCTTTATAAATCAGCTGATTGGACACGTCACAGCAACATCACTTGACCAGGGAGCAGTCGAGCAGTCTGGTATGAAAACAAACTCTTGGTCTGAAAAAAGAACCTAATAACATTAAGTATAAACCATTTCCATCCATAATAGTAAGGAGGGTCTTCCATCTGCTTGTCTCGTAGAAATGTAATTGCATTGCTAAAACCGTTCCACTGTATGGCATTCAATTTATTTATTCATGTAAAAGAAGAGAAGAAGACAATGCATATTAAAAAACCTTTAGTCAAATGTAAATATGCAGGTATTTTTAGCAGCCAACTTATCTTTATTATTTTCAATGGAGAAAAAAAGCTTAAAGTTTACTATTACTTATTTTTCTATTTTATTTTGACTTGTACATTTACATTTATATAATTATGTCTTATTTGACATACTTATTTAGAATGTATTATTATTATGTATATCTTTTACTCTTTGTTATTATATTTATTGTGATATGTGAGCTCCTGTGCCCAAATAATGTTGCTTGTGGATCAATAACATTTTTTCTAAATCTAAATGTAAGTCATTAACCCCTTAATGCTGTTTGGATCAAGATATAAGCCGAGATAGTGTCTGTATTCCCCCAGAGCCGGTTAGTGAATATGCAGGACCTTAGTAGGAACCTTTGGCAAGCACTTGTTTCTCGTTGTCGCAAATTTGCAACATACCCAATTTCTATTTATGTATTTTGCAATAGTCAAATGAATAATCTCAACTTAATTTACCATCTACTTAAAGGCAAAAACACACACAATTTTTTTTAAATATACATCTATATAAATTCAAGCATTAAGGGGTTAAAGTCGTACTGTGGATCGAGGGAAAGCAGCAGCATGTGTGTGTAATACCACTGTGTACCTGTAGGTGGACGTAGTCGTAGTCTTCCATCCAGCTCTTCACGCACTGCTCGCTGTGGTTCATGTTGTCTTTGTCCTGGAGGTTTGTGGTGGGGAAGGGCTTTCCGTAGCTCTCGTTGTCCGACGGGGGTGAGCTCAGAGCGGGGTGCGCCTCGTCCGGGCTCCCCTCCGCGTGCGACCTCCGGAACAGCAGCTCGCCGTTGGCGCTGATCGTCGACGCCAGCTGCTTCGCGTCGTCCGGCACCGTCCTGGAGACCATCACGAACCGATCCAGGTCGTCCGTCTTGTTATGCCGTACTGAGTTGGAAGTGGCCAGCGCGTTAATGGCCCATCCGCTGTTATCCAACACCTGATAAATCTGGATCACGATCTGCTGTGAGTCTTCAAGTCTCGCCAGCTGCCTCCTGAGCTTACTGTGCAGGCTACAGTCAGACAGCGCCGTAGCATTAGCCACCGCGCCTCTTCCGAACACGACAAAATCCGCCACAGCTGCCCTCACCCTATCCAGAATCGTACGCACGTCGTTGGCGTGTCTCTCCATGAACGCGAAAGTCCGCCAGTGAGGAGATGCCGTCAGTGTGTGCAAATTTCCAACTGCAACTTCTACGTTTTGCTGCAAGCGGTACAACCTCTGCAAAGCGCTGTCCAGGTCCAGTATGAGCCTCCCCTCGGCGGCAGACCCGGTGGACGAAGATGACGTGGACATGCTGCTACGCGTGCTGCCCGTGCTCGAAAACGAAAGTCGGTTCACGCCATCGGTAACGTCGGAAACTCTCGAATCTGGCGCTGGGACGTCGTAGATCCCTTTGCTGTCGTTCGGAGACGGGCGACTGGGGACACTACTGCCGCGCGGGATATCGTAAATGTCCGATCCGGAGCTGGCCAAAGCGGGGGGAGGGACGTCGTAGATCCCCTCGTTGTTGTTGTGGAAATTGTTCGTTGAAGAGGACGGTTCTGGGTTAGACGACGGAGGGGGGTAGTCGTAAACAGACTGAGAGGAGATCTGCGTGGGTTTGGTCAAAGCAGGAGGCGGGATGTCGTAAATGCCCTCAGCTTTCACGGACTTCACGGGCTGCGGGAAGTCGTAGTTTGACTCCTGGTGGTTTGGGGTGGTCCTGCAGGGAGGGACAGAGTACACCTGTGGACAGAAGAGAGAGGAATGAGTTACTTTGATGCTTAAACAATTCACAATCTTTTTACCAGATTTTGGGGGAAGCCAGAGAGCCATTTTGTATTTTGTGTTCCAAAACAAAACTCCTTTAACCACTTATTATTTTGTTACTACCAAAAACGTGCAAGTGTGATTGTGATTGATAGGGAGCAACTGATTTAGGTTTTCTCATGGCCGATGCTGATACCAGTTGTTGCTAAGATCTGACGATATTTTTGGGCTGATATATGGGGCCAATTTAGGTTTATTTTCACCAAATGATGTAATTTAAATTTACTACAAACTCACCCAGAGTCCGATTTTTACCATAAAACTGTAAGAGAGCAGCAGGTCGGCCACAGCAAAAAATCTAACCCAGGAAAAGTTCACTGTCCCTGGGAAGAAGACCAGGAGCCTCCCCTGCAGTAACCAGTGTACCATGGAGGTTCCAGGGCCCCAGCCTGACTAGTTTGACCCAGGGAAGGCTTCCTGTTCCTGGGTGTAGCACCAGGAGTGGCCTCTGGTCAGAGTCCTGCATGGGTCCGTTTTTGGAGACCCACAACTGCACGCACCTGCGCAGTACAGCACCACACCTGCACGTGATTTTATCAAAGTTAAACCCGCACCCGCCCGGACCGGTTAACATTCCACTCGTTACCCGCCTGTGCCCGTGATAAATCATACACAAATTAAAATCATTTTAACTGAAGCATCCATCAGAATATGAATTGAAAAGTTACGACTTCAAGAATTATAATCATGAAATAAAATGAAACGGTTACACTTTCTTTAGTAGGAACACGAACTCACAGACATGACTCGACTGTCATCACTTCACTTCACTTTGTGCCGCACACGCCACAGACTGAACCAGGACTAACCCAGGACTAACCCAGGACTAACCCAGGACTAACCCAGGACTAACCCAGGACTAACCCAGGACACCCCCGGTGGCATCCCTGGCGCTCTGACTGCAAGGGCCCAGCGTGACTAGTCAAACCCAGGGAAAGCTCACTGTCCGCTGCAGGGTTACCATGAAGATTTAAGTCCCATGAAGTTGCTTTATTCAATAACATGTGTTTTTATTGCTCAGATATACTAGTATGTGCATTCTTCCTGTGAGCAGACTCGCCCTCCACAGATCTGACCTGTAACTTGGTCTGTCTACATGTTTAAGGTCATACTGTGGTCCATCCAGGCAAAGCAAGTTACATGTTAAACCTTTAACTTACTTCATACATTTCACTTTTACAAGTATTCAGTAAGACTATAATAATAATCTCCAGCAATTCTTTCTGTGGTGTCTTTTGGAAACACTTTTTTTCTTTTTTCTAAGTACAAGCTGAAATTGGTTTGAAAACTCGAACTTGTCCTTGGCCCTTTTCTCCAGAGTCAAACACATGGAGCAGTTTTAGGTTGAAATATTTGGCCTGATTTAAAGGCACCACAGAAACGCTCGGAGACTCTGACGTTTGGTTGGATTCGATATTTCGGTGATTTGTAGAAACTGGAGACTCTGAGCTGCTCCTGATGTTTTTGGACTTGAGAAAACCACTTCCTTATTTTGACTGAGACCCGTTCAAGCTACAGGAGGCCGTGGAGTTTGAAAGGGCTATTAAAGTGTAACACAAAGACAAGAATAAACATGTTTAAATGGTGTTAAAATACCAACCAAAAGTCAAAGTTATCAAAAAAATCTGGACTTAGCCTCAATATGTAACGGTTCAACCAAAAATAGACTTTTCTTGTTGTTTTTAGTGCACTGAAAACTTTACTGAGATGGGGCTTGCATCTCCACAAACTTGGCAATTATTTAACTTGGAGGAGAGTTTCTGCTTGTTGCCATGGAATTTTTAATTTTATTGATGGTTAACCAGTCCAGGGAAGCCCCGCTGAGATAAATATTGTTCCTTTGGCTCTAATATTCTACTGATACTTTGCAGCTGATGTCATCAACATTCCCCGGTGGTGAGATGCAAACTGGAGGCACTGCTCTGTCTGCGAATTTGTGTGTCATTCTTTCATTAGTTTTTCAAAATAAAACCAAAAATAAGAAAACAAAAAAAACAACAATTTTCTTCATTATTTGTCTCCAAAACCAAAATGAAAAAACAGAAAATGATTTGTGTTTTCAGTTTTCGATTGTGTGTTTAAATGAAGAATGGAAAAAACTGACAACGGCCGTTTCCTGTTTACGTGACTTCTGTGACTGCGATGCAAGCGACACTACAATGACTGCCAAAGTATGACATCAAATAAATAAAAATAGTGAGGCCAAAATTGTGAAATGGATTGTACTATTTATTTTTTTAAAAATTCAGAAATATTTGTGTGCATAGGATAGAAATTCGTGCATATTTGGGAAATCTGTGCATATTTGGCTGTAGTTGAGCATGAAATAAATATTTGTAAACTCTCAAATGGTTTAGACCTGGTTCAGTTCTGGTTTAGTCCTGGTTTATTCCTGGGTTAGTCCTGGATTAGTCCTGGTTAACACTGGTTCAGTTCTGGTTCAGTCCTGGTTTAGTCCTGGTTTAATCCTGGTGTAGTCCTGGTTCTGGTTTAGTTCTGGTTTAGTCCTCTTGATTCAGTCCTGTTTTAGTCCTGGTTCAGTCCTGGTTTAGTCCTGGTTTAATCCTCTTGATTCAGTCCTGTTTTAGTCCTGGTTCAGTCCTGTTTTAGTCCTGGTTTAGTTCTGGTTTAGTCCTGGTTAACACTGGTTCAGTTCTGGTTAAGTCCTGGTTTAGTCCTGGTTTAGTCGTGATTTAGTCCGGTCATTTGGTGACAACTTTTCAATTCATATTCTGATGGACAAAATACATACAGTGCACATTTTATATAAGACTGAATTCATTCAAGAGTTTAAGAATATTTATTTTAAGATCA